TGTGTGCGCTGTGTGCGTGGTGCGCCTGCGGGTGTGCGGCGGGTGACAGTGAAGATAATTCTCACCTTGTTTCGGGGACTGAGATTCCCCCTGTAGCTAAACTCGCTGCAGCAAAATCTGTTGTTAATGTGTGTCTTCCAAATGGTGCGGAAGCACCTGAGGGGGGTTGTTCTGCTGACAGTTCCAATGTCAATGCTTTGGAGCGTGATGAATGCGAGAAATCTGGTGGCCTGGAGAAATGCAAGCTGGGCGCTGCTCCTCTGATTTGTAACGGGGAGACTGCGGATTGCCAAGTAACTGAGGTTGAGGATCCAGGGAAGGGTTGCACAGAAGGTAAAGGAACGTGTACGAGTTCTTCCAAGGCGGCCCATGTGGCTAGCAAAGAGGAGCAAGAGGAGGGGGCTCCTGCTACTCTCGACTGCAACGGTGCTAAAGGTGCTGATGCAGTTGGTGAGGTATGTGTGCCTAGAAGAGGGTCTTCACAGCAAGCACCTGGGGGGGCCGGGCCCGCTGGACAGCTGGGTGTGGCTTCACCAGCGCTTGCAAAGAGTCCTGTAACTTGCCCAGAGCCTGCAGGAACGGGGACGAAGCCTTGCACTCCTCCCGGCGGCACTGTAAACCTTGGACAGCAGGATGGCCCCGGTGTTGCTCAGGGTGCCGGGCACCTTGCTGATGAGACGAAGGAATGCATTAACCGTACGGAAGATGAAGGCTCATGTCAGAAATCTCCCGATCGGCCTTTGCAGCAGAAAACCCAACTTCACCATGAAGTCACGAAGGAGGATAAGCCCTCCAGCACTCCAAAAGGTGATGTTGACGTGAGTGCGCCCAAGCATGGGTCAGATAGAGGCGAAGGAAAAGAGGACTCTGGCCTTCTTAAGAGTCCTGAAGGCACCGAGAATGATGGCAACCACGTCCGACTGGGCGACAGTCACGACAAAGGTCGTGTGTCTGATGTAAAGACCTCACAAGAGGCCAACATGGAAAAGTCGCTGGAGGACCTTAAGGACAGTTCCACTAAAAACGAAGAGAAACCACAGAACTCTGGTGTTTTACCACCAGCCGGTCACGCTACCGACAATGACAGCTCTACTGATGATCATCGCGATGCCTCAGAGACCCGGAACCCTCGAAATGAAGACAACCAAAATGGCGCAGTACAATCGCAGAAACCGTCTGCCCCAACTTCTCCGAGCTCCTTGCAATCTGCAAGCGACAAGCAGGAGAATAACCCTGTGGCTGAAAAGGACAAAGACACGAAGAATGCGGACAGCAGCGTCAGTTCTGTGTGGGTGCATGCACCGCTGCTTCTGCTGACGTTGTTTGCAGTGGCGGCTGTGTGATGAGCATCGTGGAGAAGTAACATGCCTCCTCGCTCGCTCTGTGTGTGTGTGTGTGTGTACTTATCCCCCTTCTCTTCGTAATGATTGCTTGGGGCTCAACTGCTGCCCCTTTGTGTGGTTGGTACTTTGCTTTGTGTGTGTGTGGCATCCTCGTGGTGTGTGGTGTGTGGTGTGTGGAGTGGAGGGTGCGTTAATCCTAATTGCTTTTCATTTCTGCCTGCATGTGCTCGTGGAGTACGATAACCCTTTTATTCTGTGTGTGTGCGAGTATATCCACACTGCAGTAGCAGGATGTCTGCACGCACTTTGATTGGGTGGAGATTCTTTATTAAGAGACTTGCTTTGTGGGGAAGATTTGTGTTG